CAGTTTTAAATTAATAGAAAATTAGCTAGTTTTATAAATCCATTCTGTTTTCTCAAATGTATTTAACTGAATCAGAAGATTCCTATCTTGCTTCATGCCTCTTTGATTGTTTATTGTTGAGGGAAACAGTAGGGTTCAGTGGAAAGACCACTAAGTTTTAAATCAGAAGACCTGGGTTCAAATCCTGGCTCTGCCACTTGCTACCTGTGTGATATTGGACAAGTCACTTAACCTTTCTGGGATTCAGTTTCCTTATCTGTAAGATGAGAGGATTGGACTGGATTCTCTAAGATAAACCTATGACTTCTAGTACCTACCTCATAGACTCCAAAGAGATAATGTATATAAATCTCTTTGCAGACTTTACAAGACTATAGCAATATCAGCTATTATCATGTTATCTTTTAGCCCCCTCCCTTATTCCGACCTCCAAGAACAGGAAAAATTGTTCTATTTCTAACTTAGAATGATTAGTCCTTAATTAGGGATTAGTCCTTAATCCTGCCTCATATGCTCAGTTCCAAACATTCCAAATATTATGAATCCCATGCTTAAGAGTTTAGTTTTGATAAATCAACATGGCAGCCCATGCCACTTGGAAAGCCAATATTCTGTAAAGCAATCAAACTTGTGGCCCATTAGACATTTTAAAACCTATGCTGCATATTTTTCATCATCTTGTCACAAAGAAATAATAAAACTTGCCAGCTTCATGGCCTTGCATTTGACATAATAATATTGATCACAATGATAAACCACGGGCTTTTTTTTTTCTTAGTCTTGGCTAGCTTACAGACAGTAAGTTATGTGCAATAAAAATTAAATTAGCTAATGTTTTTATATGAAATATTATGACTAGGTGATAGCTAGCAGCTTTAAATAGAGCAAATGAGGGCCTACTAGCCTTCACAGGCCATGGCACTATAGCCTCAAACCATCTCTACTCCTAATATTACTATTTGATGACATGCAGACTCCCAGTCCTGTGGCCCTCAGTCAGTACAATCACACCCATTAGAAAACTTTTCCTTGAGTCCATTTTTTCAGCTGTTTCAAGATGGTAACCTGACCCACAAATCAACCAAAAGTCAGACAAGTATCTCAAAACTCTTTGAAGTATGTCAAACAGGCTCAAAATCAGTCAGCTTCTACAAAAATTACAAAGGAAAAGTCAGACAGATAGGAAAGTAATGTGGAATAGTGGATTGAGTGATGGACTTGAGAGTCAGGAAGACCTAGGTTTGAATGCGTCCTCAGATGTTTACCACCTGTGTGACTCTGAGCAAGTCACTTAACCTCTCTCAAACTCAGTTTTCTCCTCTGTAAAATGGGAATAATAGTAGCACCTACCTCCAATAGCTGTTGTGAGGATCAAATAAGATGAATATGTATAAAAAGCACTTTGAAAATCATTAAGCACTAAATATATATTAACTACTATCATCATCATCACCATACCAAAATAACAAGGTGCTAAACTGAAGCAAACTGACTGCAATCAGTTATCTTCTAATTGATTACTTAAATCTTTCTGTAAGAAAAGAATCCATGATAGGAGGAAAAAATAATGGAGGGAAGAAGGGATAAGAAAATACAGATTATAGAGAAACAACTGCACATATACACTAAGTTTTCAGTTCTACAGTAGGAAAAGACCATCCCAAAGACAGCACTGACACATTAGAAGTTGTTGATACCATAATTTCTTTGATATAAAAGACAGAGAAACAAATGATTCATCCAATAAGGAATGTACTATACTGAAAACAGAAGAGCTGTTACATAGCTTCCTGAGCTATGGATCTTTCTTCCTCAGTTGGCAATTAACTATATACAGTCTACCCACTTTGAGTTCCTGGAAGAATTTAGCCTATTTTACATTACAGGTTTCTGTATTCAAATGTTCTTTCTCACATACACATACACACACACACACACACACACATACACACACACACACACTGGCGTGCATATGTGTGGGAGTGTAGGGGTGTGGGTATATATATTTTCCATGGATAGGTTTATTTTCTGCGAGTTTTTGTCTTAATCTGTTTGGTTTTTTATCTCCTATCTTAATCTTTGAATGTTTTTAGGATTTTTTTTAAAAACATAAGTTGCCATGAGAGGCATGATGGTATAGTAGAGGACCAGCCTGGGAGTCAGAAATGCCTTGCTCAAGACCTACCTCTCATAATTCAAGCTTTGTGACCAGGTTTACCTGGCAGGTTTACCCAAGCTCACACCTCCTCTGATCTAGGGGGGTCAGGGGAAGGAGGAGAGGTTTCCCCCCACACCAATGAAATTACAAGCCTAGATCCAAAAAATGTAATTATATTAGTATATTATAAGAAACTGTTGGCCCACCACAGAGTTGTCTTTAGCTAGGGTGGGGGTGGGGGGTGCCCCAGAGTTAAGTGGCACAGTGGAACTGGACTTGGAGTCAGGAAGACCTGAGTTCAAATCCTACCTCAGACATTTATTTACTGGGTTTATTTATTGTGTGATCTTGGACAAGATACAACCTCTTCAATGCTCAGTTTCACCTGCTGTGCAATGGGGATAATAATAATAATACCTACTTCATAGGGTTGTTATGAGGATCAAATGAGATACTGACCTTAGAGTACTATTATTATTGTCCTTACAAAAGGGATAGTTATATGTTCTTTAAAGGATTTTCTCTAAGTCTAACAATAAAATAGAACTCTGAATATACGGTATACTTGCATCTCTGAAATTGGAAGCTAGATTTATAAAACGCCACCTCAACCACAAGAACAATTTCTAAATAGATGCCATCTCTAGGAACTGGGTCTGAACCTTTCAACTTTCCTAATCACTTGGGGAAAAAAGCAGGATTGCATTTTGGCCTTAATTTTAAAAACAGAACTAGAGATTTCTAAATCCTATTACCCGGGTTTTTTTTCCTATAGAATCAAAAGGTGACAGGCCTGGGATATTTACTCCAATTAGTCCAAATTAATCTTAGGTTCCATGGTATATTATATTGAACACTGAACCTGGAGTCAAAAGAACTGATTTCCGCCACTTAAAGCAACTGCCACCTTGGTAGAGTGATTTAATTTTTCTGAGTCTCAGGCTTTCTCATTTATGAAATGGAGCTAATAATATTTGAACTGTGTATTTGAATATTCACTTTTCCCAGAGATTCCATTGCTAGGTATATACCTCAGGGAGGTCAATAATAAAAAGAAAGAACCTATATTATACTAAAATATTTATTGTAGAACTTTTTGGCAGCAAAGAACTGGAAATAATGTGAACATGTCAGTGAGTAGCTAAACAAGCTATGGTCAATGAATGTAATGGAATATCATAATGCCATAAGAAATAATGAATATGATCAATATAGAGAAAAATGAGAAGGCTTATGTGAACTGGCAAAAAATGAAGACTTCGTGCAGCTCTGGTTCACTTAAATCCAATTCACAAGCAAATCAAGACATTACTGATCCTCTTTGAGAACGAAGGATGAACAATAACAAGCAGAACCAGGAAAATTATGTACACAATGATTGTTGTTTAGTCGTTTTCAGTTGTGTCTGACTCTTTATGACCTCATCTGGGTTTTCTTGGCTAAGATACCAGGGTGGTTTGCCATGTCCTTCTTCAGCTCATTTTACAGAAGAGGAAATTGAGGCAAACAGGGTTAAAGTGGCTTGCCCAGGCTCACACACCTAGTAAGTGTCTGAGGCCAGATTTGAACTCAGGACGATCCAGGCCTGACACTCTATCCACCACACTGCCTTGCCCCCCTACACAATGACTGCAACAATATAAATGGAATAAGGGGGGAGGGGGGTCACAGGATGATAGAAGGGAGGACAGATTGGGGGAGGAGGTAATCAGAAGCAAACACTTTTGAGGAGGGACAGGGTCAAAAGAGAGAATAGAATAAATGGGGGGCAGGATAGGATTAAGGGAAATATAGTTAGTTTTTCACAACATGACTACTATGGAAATGTTTTGCATGACTACACAAGTATAACCTGTATCGAGTTGCTTGCCTTCTCAATGAGGGGTGGGTGGGGAGGGAGGAAGGGAGAAAATTTGGAACCCAAAGTTTTAAAAACAAATGTTAAAAATTGTTTTCACATGCAACTGTGAAATAAGACGTACAGGCAATGGGGTATACAGGCAATGAGGGCAATAGGTCAGGGTTTTCCTGCCCTACAGGAAAATAGAAGGGATAAGAGAAGGAGGGGGAGAAAGAAGGGAGGACAGATTAGGGGAAGGGGTATTCAGAATGCAGGCCATCTTGGGTTGGGGGGAGGGACGAGATGGGGAGAAAATTTGGAACTCAAAATCTTGTGGAAGTGAATGTTGAAAACTAAAAATAAATACATTAACAAAAAAATTAAAAAATAAATTTAAAAACAATATAAATGGAAAGAACAAAAAAAAAAGGTAAAACTGAATAGTGTAAATTATAATGGCCAAGACTGTCCCCAAAGAAGAGATATGAGAAAGCCCCATTCCCTCCTTCCTACACCCCACCCCCAGCTTCTCTGAAGTATAGAACACTACATATAATGTCAAACTATTTCTGCAATGTTGGTTAGTTATGTTAAACTGTGTGGGGGTTTTTTATCAGGTTTTTTTTCTTTGTTATAAGGGACTTCTCCCTGGGAAGCACTGGAGGAGGGTTACATCAGGAAATGTAGGTGATGAAAAACAAAAGATATGAATAAAAAAATTTTTTAGAAATGATATTATTAAAAAAATTTTTAAATAAATAATTTGTTGAATTATTGTTTTTTATGATGTCTAGACAATTTGGGGAAGACCCCTAGCACGTTGGGGAGCTCTTGTGGCAAACTTGCGAGGCATAGGTGGAAATCCTTTAGTCTCCATGGTTGGAGGGAATGTCTACACTAATGAGATCACAGAAGTATTGCAGTTATATCTACTTTTACACCAACTTCAGTGACTTATTTAACCAAGAGGATTGAGTCATTGGAAATGTATTTCTTTTGCAGAATTATGAAATTTCATGTTGCAAAAAGGAAGTTTAAAGAGACATTGCGTCCCTATGATGTGAAAGATGTCATTGAACAGTACTCTGCGGGACATCTGGATATGCTTTGTAGAATCAAAAGTCTTCAAACACGGTAAGAAATTGGTTCTTTTCATAGTTGAAGTGTACATATGTACTAGCCCTGAGATTTGTTCCTCAGGTCACAACATATTGACCCCATAGCCACCCTATTAAAAGCCCCACTAACCTAGTAAGTCCTACCAGAACTTTTGCTCTAATGACATAACTAACCTTCAAGAAGGTAACCAGATTCTTGAGGTGGTATCGTAATCCATTTAGCAAGCACCGATCAAACACCTACCACGTGCCAGGCATTTTGCTAGGGTCTAGGAACACTAAGACAGTATGAAAAGCAGTCCTTGTTCTGAAGTATGCAATAAGGTTTCCATTCACATAGAGCCCCATCACATCTATAAAGGAAAGTATTATCAAATTAATCTTCTTTGAACATTTAATACGAGATCACCCTTATGAAATCTACAGTGACCTTTTTTGTTCAAAAAAGTTGTCTTGTTTTGTTTTGTTTATAGAAATGCCTTTACTCATGGTTTTCTTCCTTATATAAACCAGTCTTCCCATTCCATCCAACTATACAAATTCTAACTGTTCCACAGTTGATAGATCATTAGGCCTGGAATCAAAAAGACTTGAGTCCAAATCTGACTTCAGACACCGTGTGACCAAGGGCAAATCCCTTTACCCCGTTTGCCTCAGTTTCCTCGTTTGGAAAATAAGCTGGAAAAGGAAATGGCAAACCACTCCAGTATCTTTGCCAAGAAAACCCCAAATGGGTTCATAAAGAGTCAGACTAAAGAAAAGCAAAACAAATCTCACACCCTCCTACAACTTCCAATGTTGAGATTTCTCTTCTTAGAACTACTATAAAACTTTTTTGTACCATAGAATTCATCCTTTCATTGTAACATCTTATGTGATTTATTCATTATTTTATGTTTGTTGGTCTTCTTTCCCCTAACTGATTAACAGTCAATAATCAATAAACATTTTTTAAAATTCGCACTATGTCCTAGGTATGGTGCTAAGCTCTAGGGATACAAATACAAAACAGAAAGATAGTTCCTGCCCTTAAGGAGCATACAATATTACTAAATTGAGGACAAAGCCTTCTTCAACTATTTCTATATTGCCAGAAGTGTTGGGCACTGGATAGAAGTAAATAAATGCTTCACTAATTGGTTGAAATAAATTTATCCGTGAAAATGTCAGTGATATTTTGACCCTGTTTACTTTCAACCAAAATATCTAATCAGTTCATTCACAGCCTTAGACATCTCAATGTTTTGTTGAAACAAGGCCAAACATTCAGACTGATGGACTTTTCTGATCAAAGAGCTCCTATAATCAGGAACCAAGTCTTATATAGGGTGTCCCAAAAGTCTTGGTGCAGTTTTAAGCTTTTAATAACAGAAAGCTGAGCTCAAACTGTTGGGACACCCTGTATTTCTTGCATAACTCCCTACATACACAGACACACCGAAGGAGCGAGATACTAGACATAATATACTTTTAATAAATACTTATTAATTAATTCTCTGTATTCATTCAGTAATTCAAATGTTATCTTTTACTATGTAGGAAAAGAAGGGTAGCTAGCTGGCACAGTGGATAGAGTGCAGGTCCTGGAGTCTGGAAGACTCATCTTCATGAGTTCAAATCTAGCCTCATACACTTACTAGCTGTGTGCCCTGGGCAAGTCATTTAACCCTGTTTGCCTCAGTTTCCTCATCTGTAAAATAAGCAGGAAAAGAAATGGCAAACCACTTCAGTATCTTTGTCAAGAAACTCCAAATGAAGTCACAAAGAATTGGACACGACTGAAAACAACTGAACAACAACAGCAAATGTAGGAAATACTAAGCTAAGAGCTATGGAAGATATAAAAATGAATTAAACAATTCCTGTGCTCTCCAGACTTCACTTGATGCCTGTGTTCATAGTAAGTGTTTGTTGATCAGTTAATAGATTGATTAACTGAATGGAGAAGCTTACAATCTTGCAGACCAAATAACCTGGCTTTGGATAGGTATAGCCTTCATGTGTATAATGAAACAGAAAGCTGACATAATTGTCCAGGCAATTCAGTTCTGACCCTCAATTAAGATAGAAGCAAGTTGTTATTGTTGTTGTTTTTAACATGAATAAAATTCACCTAGAATTAAGTTCCTTTAAATTCAATAAATATTAATTTAAAACATACTGGATGTCAGGCAGAATGAGAGATGCCAAAATTAATACGAATAGTAATAATAATTGGCATTTCTACAGCTTTTGGTTTTTCAAAGCATCTTGCATAGATAATCTCATATGAACCTCACAAACACCTTGTGAAGGAGATACTACAGGTGTTATCATCCATTCTTTACATATGAGGAAACTGAGGCTCAGAGATCACCATCACATAACCAGGAAGTTTAAACTTGGATCTTCGTAACTCCAAGGCCAGCACCCTATCCCTCTATGAGAAAAAACACCACCTGTCTTCAAGGAGTGTATGGCCCAGTGACTATTCTAATTCTTCACTTTACTTTGACCCTAGGTAAATAAATCATTTCAAGCTTTTCTTTAAAAGGATTTGCTGTCTAACTCCCTAAATTTTTATACCGAAATTTATATTTTTTAATAATGAAATTGTATTGTTTATGCTGTAAGGAGAGGGAAAAAAGATTTAATGGCAGCAAATCAATTCCCTTTATTTCAATCACTAGCTCCTACAAACCACATATAATTTGCCTTTCCCAAGCTAGGAAATAATCATAACCTCAATTTTGATAACCTTCTTTGAAGGGTATTTCTAAGAATAATAACACTTAGATGATCTGTGCCCTCATTAGTGAGTGTTCCCTCTACTGGCAATCCATGAAACATAAAAACAGTGATGGTGATAGTGATCACATCTTTTTGTAACTCTTTAAGGCTTCCAAAGTGCTTCTCATAACAATAATCCTTCTGTAGGATAGATGGAACAAAGATGTTAACACACAAAATACAGTTTACTTTATGGCAGCTTTTCCTCACATGCTGTTGTTGTTGTTATTGTTGTTCCTATGATTTCATTATTGTAGAGAATTCCTGGTATGAAATCTCTATACAAGTAATCAGAGTAATACAAGTAATGTGTGTGTATATACATGTAGTTGTTCATTTTTCAGTCCGGTCCAAATCTTGATCCCATTTGGGGTTTTCCTGGTAACGATATTGGAGTAGTTTGCCATTTCCTTCTCCTACTCATTTTACAGATGAGGAAACTGAAGCAAACAGGGTTAAGTGACTTGCCCAGGGACAAATAGCTTGTAAGGATCTGAGGCTGGATTTGAACTCATGAAGATGAGTCTTCCTGACTCTAGGCCTGGCACTCTATCCATGCACCACCTAAGCTGAGTTAAAAGAGACAAATTTAGAATCATAATTTAGAGCTGGAAATGACCGAGAGGTCATTGAGTCCAACTCTCCCATTTTACAGATAAGAAAACTGAAGCCAAGAGATTGACTCATCAAGCATCACAACGCTAATAAGTGTCCAAGGTATAATTTGAATCCAAGTCTTCCTCACTGCCAGTCCAGCACTCTATCCACAGTACCAAGCTGGTCCTGAATTCTGTCCTGGTCAAGTCACACCTAAAGTATTGTGTTTAGCTCTGGGCCCTACATTTCAGGAAAGGCATAGACACTCTGAAGTTCATTCAGAAGGGGATGAACAGGATGGTGTGAAAAACTGAGAGGATGCCATAGGAATACCAATCAAAGAGAAGACACAGGACAGAGAGTGGGAAACACAGTTGCATTCTGCAATTATTTCAAGGGTTGCCATACAGAAGGATTAGATTTATTCTACTTGGTCCCAAAGAGGTCTAGGAGCAATAGCTAGAAGTTGAAAACAGAGACAAAATTAGGGTTGATGGCAGGAAAGATTTCATAATGACTATAACTGTCCAAAAGTGGAATGAGCCTCAACAGTTAGTGGGTTACCCCCTTTGTATATCTTCAAGCAGAAGCTGGATGACCAATGAGGGATATTGTTGGTAGGATTCTTGATTATAGAGGGGCTAGAATAGGTGACCTTGAAAGTTTCTCCAGCTCTTAGAGTCTATGATTCTGGGATTCTGTATCTGTCACCTGAAAACCAATCTAGCTAAATTTGGAAGGCTCTAACACTAGATGTTGGCCACCAGGTAAAGATTTTTGTTTTGTTTTGTTTTGGGTTTTTTGTGGGGAGGAAGGAGTATGGATTGACTGTGGCAACTCAAGGAAGAGTGTCTTTAGCATCAAGGGGCCGTAGCCCTGTCTGCATTGGTAAGAAAAGAAAGAGAGAGAGAGAGGAAAGGAGGAAGAAAGGGAGAGAGGAAGGAAGGGAGAGAGAAAGGAAGGAAAAAAAGGTGTGTTTACTTGAGTAAAATCATACATCTCTTGGAATAAGTATCAACAAGGTCAACTTTTTTTTTTTAATCATTTTCAACGTATGTTTAAAAGACTGTATTTCCCTCTTCTTTTCAAATCATTTTAACCACCACACTGTGTCAAGGTCTCTTTTGTTAGGAGCCATATTCATTTCGATTTTATTCTCTAACAGTGTTGATCAAATTCTTGGAAAAGGGCAAATCACATCAGATAAGAAGAGCCGAGAGAAAAACACTGCAGAGCTGGAAACAGCAGATGACCTCAGCATGCTAGGCCGTGTGGTCAAGGTTGAGAAACAGGTATGTTTCAGCTAGCCTGGGCAGCTGTCTGGCCTTCCTTTTGTCTTATCTGTCTGGCTTGATCATAGGAGATCAAGTATATTTCAGGTAATACACATTCAGAAGGAAAGATAAAAGCCAGCAGGAATAAAATGGAAAAATATATTAGGTGTGTACATATAGTATTTTTTCTAGGATATATATATAAACAAAAATATAATAATTCACTGCAATGATTAAAATAATTTGAGCTGGAAACCACTGCATGTTTTCATTTTTGAAAGGCAAAGGCCAGCTTTTCTTCTATTTTAGTTTCCACTAGCTTGGTTCAATTTATCATTATATATATTTTTAACAAAGGAAAAGTTGTTTTAATTATAAATGCACAGCTAGTAGAAAAATCCTCAGGGTCTGTCTGCATATGTAAAACAAAGACACATAATCCAAGCCTCCTAACCAAAATAATTTAACCTAAGATATATGTGTGTGTGTGTGTGTGTGTGTGTGTGTATACATATACATATATATATAATCTAAGTAGAATTGCCTGAATAATAATAATCACAATGAATAACTCACCTTTGGATAGTGATTTAAGGTTTAAAAAAATGTCTTCCCTACAGCAACCCTGTAAGGTAAATACTGAAAATATTATTAGCCATATTTTACAGATAGGTAAACTAAGACGCAAATACATTAAGTGGCTTACTAAATGTCATTCAGCTATTAAATGGGAGACCAATATCTGAAACTAGGCCTGCAGATTAAATCCAGCATCCTTTCTGCTATATCATGTAATTATCCTTTATTTCTCATTGTGCATATTGCATATTGCAAAATGAATGCATATTCATTGTAATTTTGAATTCTAGAATTGTCAGCCTTTGAAATTTTATCTCCATTTGTCATATAATTCTTGGATGTTTCCATGATGAAAGAGTCTCTGCCCTCAAGGAACAATTCTATAAGAGACTTCTCCTAGAATTAAGCTTCTTTTAATTCAATAAACATTTATTAAGAACATACTGAATGCCAGGGAGAGTAAAAGATGCCACAAATCAATACAAATAGTAACAATAATTGGCATTTCTAAAGCTCTTTCAAGTTTTCAAAGCATCTTGCATACATAATTTCATATGAGTTACACAACCACCTTGTGAGGTAGGTACTACAGGTATTATTAATCGTATTTTGAGGAAGCATATTACATCAGAGAAACTAAATGATTTGCCCATGATCACACAGCCAGGAAATACCAAATGTAAGATTAAACTTCTATAGCAGTTCTTACATTCTAAAGGAAAATTTTCCTATAGAATATATGCTCTTTAATGACACGGTGTTCTGTTTTGTTTTTTTGCTTTTATCATCATAATCTAGAACAGTAGCTGACAGCACAGCAAGTACTTAATAAACGCTAACTGAATTAAATTGGAAAGCTGTGTGATTCATTAGGATGAGTCCTAAGTTGAGAATCAAAGGAACTGGGTTTGAATCCTGGCTCTTCTAGGATGACTGCCTGTGTGGCATGCAAACCGCTTAACACTAGAAGGACCAGAATTTAAGAATGCCTTGAAGGATCAAGTTATGTTAATTTGCATATACTAGAGATAGTAGGATGAAATTTTTATTGAACACTTATGAACTGATGCAAAGTGAGGTGAGTAGAATGAGGACAACAATTCACACAATAATCACAATGTTGTAAAGGTAATCAATTTTGAAAGACCTAGGAACTCTGATCAACACATATGACCAGCCACAGTTCCAAAGGACTCAGTTAAGTCAATGACTAACCATACTATAGACCTCTAGATAGAGATCTAATGGACTTAAAGTACAAATTGAAGCATATTTTATTTTCTTTTTTCTTTCTTTCTTTTTTTTTTTTTTGACATGGCTAATGCAGAAATTTGTTTTGTATGACTACATATTTGTAATGGGCTTTATTTTTCTTGCCTTCTCAATGGGTAGGCGAAGGAAAAGGAAAGGGACAAAATTTAGAACTAAAAATAAAATTGAATTTTTAAAGTAAAATTATAATATCTGCTTGTAATTCTATTTAAAGTATATATGCACAGATAGGAGAAATTACAGTAAGTTGACACTGACACTTCTGGACCATCTCTTGTTTTCAGATTCCTCATCTATAAAATAAGGGGATTTGCCACAAGGACCTTTCTCATCTAAATCTATGATCCTATAATGATATGTTATACTCATATGTACCATTTTTCTACCTCTTAGGTACAGTCTATAGAATCGAAACTGGACTGCCTACTAGACATATATCAACAGGTCCTAAGGAAAGGCTCTGCATCAGCCCTGACTTTGGCTTCATTTCAAATTCCACCTTTTGAATGTGAACAAACATCTGATTATCAAAGTCCTGTGGACAGCAAAGATCTGCCCAGTTCCGCACAAACTAGTGGCTGTTTATCCAGGTCAGCCAGTGCCAACATCTCCCGAGGTCTGCAGTTTATTCTTACACCAAATGAGTTCAGCACTCAGACTTTCTATGCTCTCAGCCCAACTATGCATAGCCAAGCAACACCGGTGCCAATGAGTCAAAGCGATGGACCGGCAATGGTGGTCACCAACAACATCACAAACCAAATACACCAGGTGACCAAGCCAGTGGCCCCAACCACCTTACAAATCCCCCCTCTCCCAGCCATCAAACATATCCCCAAACCTGAGCCCATACAAATTAGCCCTGCTACCATACAGGAGAGCATCTCTGATGTCACTGCCTGCCTCGTTGCCTCAAAGGAAAGCGTTCCATCTATCCAGTCAAACCCAACCAAGGATCGTTCCCTGAGAAAAAGCTTTGACATGGGAGGAGAGACTCTGCTGTCTGTTCGCCCTTCAGTGCAGAAGGATTTGGGCAAATCATTATCTGTACAAAACCTAATCAGATCAACAGAGGAACTGAATGTGCAGCTTTCAGGTAGTGACTCGGGGGGCTCCAGAGGTAGCCAAGAGTTTTATCCCAAATGGAGAGAGTCCACTTTATTTATAACTGATGAAGAAGTGGGCCTAGAAGAGACAGAAACTGAGACTTTGGATAGCATTTCTCAGCCTGCCAAGGAAACAACTTTCCCTTCTGACTCTCTAAGGACTGGAATGTCAAGATCATCTCAAAGCATTTGTAAGGCAGGGGAAAGTCCAGATGTACTCAGCTTGCCCCAAGTCAAACTTAAATAATTTCTTGATTTTCTTTCTAGGCTTAGCACTTCCTTTAGCCATACATATCATTGCATGAACTATTTTGAAAGCCCTTTTTAAAAGATAAAATAATGAGAATCAGGAAGAATAAGAAAGGCAGTTTAAGAGCCCATTACCTTCTAATTGCATGAAAATGCATGTTTCAGAGATGGCTGAAATTCCAAGGTACACCTACATTAACCCATTCATTTAATAATAAGGTACCAGAGGTTAAAATCCTGAAGGGAAAAAAAATCTTACACAGCTAATGCTATTGGCTAGATAAAAAAAAAAGCAAAAATTTGAGCATTTATGAAAATTAATATTGTATTTTGAAAGTATGGAAGTAAACATCTTCAAATTTAAGGCACTTTTGCTTCATGGTTAAATACAAAAATGTTATTTTCAAAACTGGGCCATTGTGTATGTTTATAACCCAAAAGACTGTCTCCAGCTGCTGGCAAAGTATCAAGAAAAGTATATGCGGGAATATTAGAAATGGCTACCATTGCAAGATAGACATGTTAGGTCATTCCTAGGCCATCATTTATCCCTTAATGTAGTTTAGAATGTTGATTTCTATAATTTTGGGGTGACAGTGTTGGGGTAAATGAGTTTACACACCACTTTCAGGTTGTTCTTTGCACTAAGAACATTTTTTTCTATTAAATGTGCAAATGAAAAGGTTCAGGGTCAGTGGGAAAAGCAAACAAACTGGCCCAGTATTTGGAGATATCAGGTTTAGAGAAAGCTCTTCCTTGATAATTGAATCAACTGTGGCCAACCAAATTGGTTGATTCCAGGCTTGGGGCTGTAGCAACAACTGGCTTCTGCACAATCAACCCACTGGACCATGAGATAACCCAGACTGGCCAGGAAGATGGCCAAGTTAACTGGTCTGACTTCGGCATGGTCCAGTTATTTCAGTCATGGGGGCACAGACTCCCACCAAGTCATGCCAATGCTGCTTTTAAATTCTTCTGGGATTAATGTGTTTTAACAGCCAAGCCTCTAAGGAAAGGGGATAAAGACTCTATTGTTCCTCCTCTCCCAAGGGGCTGTTTCTTTCCCACAAAGCTGACAATGGTACAACTCACCACAAGAGAGATGGAGAATTTAGGTGGGCCTGAAGTAAGGCAAGAAGTGAATGAAAAGAAAGGAAACAACCAGGAAAATAGTGGCTTACCCCAAAAAAGAAAAAAAAAAAGGCCCAAAGGTGGGAGTGAGCAAAGCAAAACAAACCAATGAAAAATACATAACAAGAGTGGATCAAAAGATGAAAGAGCAGTGTTATTTGAGAATTCTTAATGTTTCTCCAGTATTTGATGGATTCAACATGCGAATCATTTCTCTTCTCCCTACCCTTTTTAGGGGGGCAACTGGGTGTCCCTATCTTGCCCAAGCTAGAAGTGCAGCAGCCATTAAAGGGCCCAATACTTATCTCAATCTATCGACACAGAAGATTCAACCTACTCCATTTTTCCAGCATGCCCTAGTTTGCCCAACCTTAGGCAGCCTGGTGGGCCCCCACTGTCAGGGGCCCACCATACTGGTGCCTCACATAGTTGGGACACCAGATTAGCTTAATACATTATAGCAATCCACCAGCCTCAATCTCTCCAACTGCAAGGATTATAGGTATGAACCACCACTTTGGGCTCAAATCATTCCCTTTCCATAGAAAAAAAGTAAGATCATTTGGAAGCCTCTTCATTGTTGGATATTGTTAATTGTCTCTCTTCAATGCCCAGAGAGTAATTTGCTCTAATATGAGTATACCTGCCATATAAATGTCTAAATGCAAGATGCCTCTATGTTTTATACAGTAAGGAAAGGTTTGTGTAATGTACAAGAACACCGCCCTGGGAGCTTGGATCCTCTGCTATGAAAATTCAAAGTCAGGAATCCACCAGGACTTGAAGGTTCTGAGAATCAAAATGCATCATGCAACAGAAACCCAACAGAGTCTAACGGGAAAGTAAAGATGAGAAAGCTGTTTTATAAGAGCAAAAGCAGCCCTTTTTCAATCCCAGAGAGGAAGCACTGATTGCCTGTGAGAAACCAGTGTAGTAGGCCACCCAAAGTAGCAGGAGGACTCCCAGACTATCTGTCCCAAGGTATGATAACACAACTAAATTCAAAGGACAAGAAAGGGGTATTGCTAACAGCATCCCAATATGTTTCCAAACACAGTTGGGCTGTCTACTTCCAGCCATACACGCACTCAGAAACAGGTTATGCTTTGGCCCGTCCAGATTGTAGAGTCAATTCTACCAATCAGTGCTTTCCTGTAACAGTCATTGTATATGGCAGCCATGTCCTCAGGGCAGCAGTGGAAGAGGGCAGGACAATAGCCAGAGGAATGTAAGTGGATTATCCTCAGTCTGTGTCTAAGATTTTTTTTTTCAATAAAATTCTTAGATCCCATGTAACCAACTATCTCCCTCAAAATGTGGGTTTCACAGATACTAGAAATTAGGCTTTCTTCCCTAGCCCCTTCATCTCTTTCTCTCACTTACATCTATCTACTTTTTCCAGTTTCAAGAGCTGCTCGTAGACCTCCTGTCCCTATTTCACTTCTAAACCCCCATTTAGCCTTAACTAGGCTACAACCAAGCCAGACCTCTGCCCTACCTAAAGCCTCACATATTCCATACATTTAGTGGCCTCTCAATATTAATGGAGTTATAAACAAATAAGCAATTAACAACTATTAATGGATAGGAGGGGGGAAAAAAGGAGACACAACTTTCAGGTAGCACTGATTTCTGGACAATCTGTCCTGGATCAAAACCCCACTGGCAGCAAGAATTCTGAATGTATAGGGACACCTACCTAGGCCTCAGGTTTGGCAGTTTGACCATAGGTGTATACAGCGTCCAGGCCAGGTATGCCGGCACATCTGGCCCATAATCTGTACATGCCTATGAGTTTAACTCTAGGGCCAGACCTGATTAGAATTTAAAATTCACTTAAGAAAAAGGAAAATTAAAAAAAAAATCAGCTGTCCCAGCAGTCTTAATCATGGCTAAGCTCTGGAAACTGTATCGTGAAGAACTTGAACTGTTTATTTTGAATACGTGATCACTGCTGCCTCCATCTTTCTTTTTACACAAGAATTATTGGATATTATATGATAGACTTATTATGTGAAAGTACATGCATCCTGTAGGACTGTCCATAATGTATTGCTGTCTACGGATCCTATGGGAAATGGGTGATGGTCCCAGACTTATACTGGGACAAATTCCAGTTGGGAAATTCCACAGGGTGTCTCGAAGCACAATTAGCCAAGCACTGAGTAACCATTTGACTTTTTCTAAATTTGAATTTTCCTACTTTCTTCTATATGTCCATCTGGGCATGATAATATCTGATCACAAACACCACTTTTGTGTAGGACCAAGGTTTTCAAACATTTCAGATCTCTCATGGGAATACTACATCTCTGTCCATCTGGACCAATTGGCAGATTTCAAATATTGTTCAAACAAATTTTATCAAGCTTTTGAGGCTTTGTTTTTGCTTGTGTTTTAAGGTGCCTTCCTCATTTCCCTTTGATTCCCACAGAGGTCAAACAGTTCTAAATCTTCGATAGGAGAAAGTGAATGGAAAGGAGAAACTTGGGACTAGAAAGCCCAGTTCTCTGGCCAGTTAGTGAGGAAGAACTATGACTTACGATGAGAATTGGGCAGAGGGCAACTAAACTAATGAGTTTACCCTTAGGCCTTCCTTTCATTTAACAGGAACAAGAAAGGGTCATTCACATTAATTTATCTCACAAAAGTTGGTATTTTCGCCTTAATAACATGCTTGTGTTCTCTTAAGAGTAACTTAATTTATTTAATATAATTGTGTGCACTTCAATGAGCATTTCTAAAATTCATGTATGACAATGGAATTGTCTTTTTCTCAAGAACAAATAAATCAGGAATATCACAACTGATTCAGGTGACTGTTGAAATCTAGTTGCCTTCTTCACTATCATTTAAGGGTCAATGTTGGTTTACTTTTTTAATGGAAGCATTTAAAGACATCTCTACAACCAGTTTGACAAGGTTTTCTGCTAAACTGACTGGATGGTTAGTTAAATTCACTGGTTATTTCAATCTAACTACATATGAACTGTTTTTGTTTTTGAGACTGGGTCTCTCTGTCACACTTGTGGGCAACTTTATACCACGCAATCCCACAATGGCTGGTCACAGAGTTTGGACCTATCCCATTTTTGACCTGGATTATTCATTCTTCCTTAGGCAACCCAGTGCCCCACCTCTACCCCAGGATTCACCTTATTAATGCTGAACTTAATGTGGACACCAGATTGGCTTAGCTCATAACAGTTCAGAACTCGAACTCAAGAAATCTACCAAGCTCAGCCTCCCTGGATTGTAGGCCACCATGCCTGGCCACATAGACACAGTCTTAAAGAATATTGTCTGGTAGTTGATTCATTTGATTAGATGCATTACAACATAGTGAAGAGAGCCAGCCTTGGAATCAGGACAACCTGGGTTCAAGTCCTTCTGTGTGACCATGGACTAGTAACAATTTCTCAGAAACAAGTCTCTGAGACTATAAATTACAGAATAGCCACTCTACATTCATACAGGGATGCTCCATACAGATAAAATCACAGTTCTCCCTCCAACTCCCAACAAAACCAGTCAATTCACTAAGTTTTTGGTGGTCATGAAAGTATTTTTAAGGCAAGCATTCTTTTTTTATTTTGCAACAAAATTGTATTAGTTTAAAATTAAACATATTTTATTCACCCAGTGGCAAGAAGTCTATTTTGAAATTCTTCATGGTAATATTATTTGCTGAGCACATGGACCATTAGGTAGGTCTTAAATGTCTTCCCACTACCCCTTTATGCCTCCCTAATTTTTCCCCTCTCCCCCAAGTCCCTATGACAGCATCTAATAGGCAGTAAAGTGCCTTTAAAATGCTTAGTCTGATAGTTAAGCACCACCTATTTACAAAAACTGAAGAACTTAATGGAAGAAAACATGGTTTAGGGCAAAGTACACAAGATATGAAGCCAAAAAGCCTGAATTCATTTACTTTCTGGTTTATTAACACACACATATTATTAATACCTGGGTATCCTTGGACGAGTTGAATTACCTTCCCTGGCCTTAGGTTTTTCTCTGTAAAATAAGGGTTTGGACTATATTGCCTCTGAAGTGACTTTCCAGCTCTAAATCTATGACTTAATGGCATCTGTATGTATCTGTACATTATTCTTTCTTCCTTTTAATATCATTTTCTTCATTGCTATTATAATTGTAGTGATTCTTTCAGGCTGAACACAGTTCCGCCATAAGACAGAATACAAGAGCTGAAAATTCAGATTTATCAGCAACTTTATCAAATTTATCATCATCATATCTTCTTAAAGTAATATTAATTATTATTTTGCACTCAAGTAGTATCCAGAGATGGATGTATAATAAGCATTAACTAATACCAGTTTCCTCAGCACCTTAAGATGCAATAATTAGTCTTGTTATGCCTATTTTGTGTTATACCTAGAAGCAACTCTTAAATTTGCAAAAAAGGTGCAGACCTGCATTAGTAGAGGGAGTTTCCTTATCCAGCAGTTCTCTAGGCCAGTAATTCTCATAGTGTAGTCCAAGGACCTCTGGGAGTCTCTGAGACCCTTCCAGAAGGTCCATGAAATCAAATTTTGCTAATAATACTAAAGCTTATTAATTTCTAATATAGTAACTATCAATAGATATAAGCCCCATAAACAAAAGCTCTTGGATTGATCCTCAATAATTTTTGAAAGTGTAAAGGAGTCCTGAGACCAAAAAGTTTGAGAACTGCTGCTCTGTGCCAATGAAGTCACAGAGCCATATTCCTTATTCATCTCCCTGTCTAATAAACAGGAAAGGGAGGAGGGGAAAAAGGAAAGAGGAAGAGAAAGAAGAAAAAGAAAGAGAGGAAGAAAGAAAGAAAGAAAAGGAAAGGAAGGAAAGAAAGAAAGAAGGAAGGAAGCAAAGAAAGAAAGAAAGGTAATAAGATTTGATCATTCTCAAAATCCTAGGGGAAATATGGCAAAGAGCCAAAAGTTAGGGGACAAGCTTCTTTACTGATAGATAACCCTCATGTAACCAGCTCTCCTTACTTTAATGCTGTTGTATTTTCTCCTTACTCTAATGGTATTATATTATCTCGGGGGTAGGTTCTCCTATCTTTTACCTGGGAGGCAATCTATAACTAATAGAAAATATTTAGGATCTCGTTTTAGATCAAAGAAGTGGAGGATGCTGAGAGATATTTTTGTTTTGATAGATATATATTGAATGTGAAGGTGATAATCCTGCTACTTCCTTAAAGGCAACAAATACAGAACTAAATTATGAGTTACTCATGACATCACATAACTTTAAAAACAATGCAAAATGAAAAAAATAAACAAGAACAGCCTGGAGAAGGAGAAATATTCTAAGGTAGGCAATATCCAAGAGCACAGGACTTGGGAGTCAGAAAGTTTTGTTGCTGTTCTTTCATTTTCAGTTGTGTCTGATTCTTCGTGACCCCATTTGGGATTTTCTCAGCAAAGATACTGGAGTGGTTTGCCATTTCCTGCTTCAGTTCATTTTACAGATGAGGAAACTGAGACAAACTGAGTTAAGTGACTTGTCCAGGGTCACACAAGTAGTAAGTGTTTGAAGCCACATTTGAAATCAGAGCTTCCTGACTCCAGGCTTGGATTGGCACAGCACTCTATCCACTGCGCCACCTAGCGGCCAGAGTCAGGAATACCTAGATTCAAATCCAACTGACACTTAATTGTTACATGACGTTGGTCAAGTCACTTAAATTCTCTGGAACTCAGTTTCCTCATCTTTAAGATGAAGATGTTGTCTTTACTATGAGGGAGTTTTTTCTCTTTTTTTTCCAGTGGGAGAGGGGGTGGAAGAGAAAGAAAAGTTCTTTTTGTAAATTCAAAATTTTAATTTCATTTTTAAATAAAAGAGTATTAGACTAGTTGACCTATAAGGTCCCTATGATCCTAAAAAATTAAAAACTTGACTGTTCATAAAACAAATACAATAATAGATGATAGTAAACATAAGGCATCTGATGCATACATAAAAGTTGTATTTCATTTTCTTAGATATGAAAAGCACTCAGGGGTCTATGGAGTAAAATTATCATACAAATTCCTACCAAAACAATGCAAAAATGACTTAAGAAATTATTCAATTCCTATAATGCCCTCCCACCTCAAAAAAAATTTTCAAAATAATTATGGAGAAGTAATGAGATCTTATAGACATCTTTCATCCCTTCATCAAGTATGCCCCCAAAACCTTCTTGGGTTCATTCTCTCTAAGTAGTCTCAGTGTGACACAGTCTCTTGAACTACCAAGGCAGAATCGGGAGTGGTATTTTTAGATATTTTTAACTGATAGTTGCAACAGCTATGTTGGAGCACAGAAACAGTAGGGAGGAAATAATGACCAAGTAGCATCTTATAAACCCCAAAAGGCAGCAGCAGCAGCAACAACAGCTAACGTTTATATAGTGCTAACTATGTGCAGGCACCAGAGAGGCTGGCTCTCTAGCCACAAAATCACACTGTCTCTCAATCCTCTCATTACACGTGGATCTCATGGGCAGTGAGTGGTAGAGCCTGGTGGGTGGATGATACCAAAAAAAAGTACTATGAAGACAAATTATCACCCAATTTCTTCAAAATTTTTTTGAATTTTGAATTTTTTTGATAAAGTGACATGAGCCTCATACCCTAACAATGCACAATCTATCTAGAATAGAGCTAGTCCCAGATAAAACTACAGTGGGCAAGATGTTCAAGGCCTCTCCTCCACCCTCTTTCTTTGTCTTTTGGACCCTTTTAATTCCCTAAAGGCAACTCGGGAATTTCTCTAGTCAGTCACACAGGGAAGAAAGGAATTGATAAATTCATTGACACTAAGATATTTCAGATTCACCCTCTTATTTTCCTTGAGGAAAATTTTAGGAGAAGCCTGGAGAAGAACTGCTGAAGCCAAAGGAATTTATCGTGATAGCATTGCAGATCTCAGGGGAGGGTGGCCTTCTCAGACTTTGCTTGCACTTAAGCACCGTAAATTCAGCACTGACTCAAGGCACAGGGTAAAACTAATTAAACTGTGAGTAATACCCCTCCCCTTCTCCAGTCAAATTGGCTTTACCATTTTCTGTGAGGATTCACAGAAAACCCAAAAAGTGACAAGGGAAAGAAAAGGTTTTTCTGCCCTACCCACAGCCTTTGCACAACCTCATCCCTGCATGACCGTTTTCTGATTCAACATGAAACCCTCATTATTGACACAATCATTTGGGGAGAAATGTCTTGTAGCCAAAATGAAGGGATTATGAAATATTTGGGGGAAGAGGGAATGGGAAACATTAACATAGAACACAATCACAATAATGGTCCTGAAAAGATCCATATATGTAAAATTCAGTCCATGCATATAGATTTTTATTCTTGAAAAGCCCAATCTACTGTGGCAGGGTGATTTGTTTTTGAAAGAATGTGCCAAGCACTGTGCTAATAACTGGGAATACAAATACAGCAAAGACTGTCTCAGCCCTCAAGGATTTTACATTCTATAGGAGGAGAGAACATACATAGAAGAGTAGTAGCCACAGAAGAACTAAATTAAGGCAAAGGATGGTAAATTAAAAGGATGACAGTAGGGAATGAATCTGGGGGACACAGAGATACACCGCATCCAGGAACAATGGTAGAGTTGATTTGATCTTGGTTCTTGGTTCCAGCACCCAAAGGAAGAAAGGGAAAGGTATTTTGTGGAGGAGGGGCCTTTAGAAAATAGAGTTAAAAGAATCATGGCTGGAGTTTTCCTGAAACTATGGTGGGGAGAACTAGGCAACAATCTGGAAAGCAGAGAACTCCAGAAAG